GGTGGCCAGTCAGTAGGAAAAGTACATTTACTCTGATGACCACCAGGCCAGAAGAGGAGCACTGTTTTTTATACTTTATTATGAAAAATTACAAACTTATGGAAAAGTAAGGAAACTTAACATTTAACCTGTTTTTTTTAAGAGACAAGATCTTGCTCTGTCACCTAGGCTGGAGTGCAGTGGTGCAATCATAGCTCACTGCATCCTCCATCTCCTAGGTTCAAATGATCCTCCTGCCTCAGCCAGTGACTGATTACCTAATTTACAACAAAATCTTTAACACTTTGGCTGATGGTATAGAACTAGAAGCCCAACTAAAGAAAGTCAGGCATGGTAGCTCACACCTGTAATCTCAGAACTTTGGGACACTGAGACAGGAGAATCGCTTGAGGCCTGGAGTTTGAGACCAGCTTGGGAAGCATAGTGGGACACTGTCTCTATAAAAATTTCTTTAAAAATTAGCCCGGTTTAGTGGCACACACCTGTAGTCCTAGTTACTTGGGAGGCTGAGGCAGAAGTATCACTTTAACCTAGTACTTCAAGGTTGTAGTGAGCAATGATCACACCACTGCACTCCAGCCTGAGTTGCAGTGACTGTCTCTAAAAAAAAAAAAAGAAAAGAAAAGAACATGCTAAAAGTATACTAAATAAAATTTAGGGAAGGAGTTCTTTCAACATGATATCCATTTGCTTGATAGGAAAATAGAGAAGAAGATTGTGCCTTTGTTCTATTAAGCCTGTTCAACATTGAAATTTTATTCTCTTCCACTAACTCCTGGGTTGTTAGCATGTTTGTAGTTATTTAATTAACTTGAGCCCCAGGGAATCTGTGATCTAGTAAGTACACAATTAATAAAAGAATAGAAACCCAGTCTGGTGAGGTGACTCACGCCTATAATTCCAGCACTTTGTGGGGGCACAGCCAGAAAATTGCTTGAGGTCAGGAGTTGAAGACAGCCTAGGCAACAAAGTGAGACCTCATCTCTACAAACATTTTTTAAAAACTCTCCCAGCTACCCAGGAGGCTGAGGCAGACTGATCACCTGAGCCCAGAAGATCGAGGCTGCGGTGAGCTGTGATCATGCCACTGCACTCCAACCTGGGCAACAAAGTGAGACCCAACTCAAAAAATTAAAAAATCAAAAAAAGAAACCTTCTTTTTCAAACAAAATATGGCTACTTGAAATACTACATTAGGTCATCCTAATGCCTTGTAACATTTCATTTTTGAGAAGCCCTGAGTTTTAAGGATGGTTTTATGCATTCATATTTAACGATCACCTTATTTCCCATCTTCTTACTGCTGTGAACTCTTTAGAACAGCTATAGTATAAACACATTTTATCAAAAAAATCTTTCAGTTCATAAAATCACCTTCGAAACTCTCTTAGAAATTCATAAATTTTCAAGTTATAAAATACCTTAGGAACCCAGAAACTTCTCAGAAGAAGAAGAAGAAAAAAAAAAGATGTTAAATAATTTCAATCCAAGCTAGTAAATCAAAATATTCAGGCAATGCTTTCCTCTACGTTAGACCACAAAAATGTCTATCTAAAATACCTTTATAAATTAGTTCTACATAGAGTAAGTAGAGTTACTTGATTAACAACATACCTAACAATGTTATCACAATTTGTAAATAGGTAAAATAGAAAAAAAATTGTCAGATTTAATAATATTTTATCAATTTACAAATTGTGACAAATTGTCATTTTTTTCTAACATGAATTAGTATTTGACATATATTTTTTTGAGTCAGGGTCTCAACTCCATTGCCACAATCAAGGCTCACCACAGCCTTGAACTCCTGGGCTCAGGCGATCCTTCCACCTCAACATCCCAAGTAGCTGGGACTACAGGTGTATGCCACTACACCTGACTGATTTTCTTTATTTTTTGTAGTTACATGGTTTCACCATTTTATCCCAGGCTTGTCTTGGTCCTGGGCTCAAGCATTTCTCCCACCTCAGCCTCCCAAAGTGCTGGGATTACAGACATGGGCCACTGCGTCTGATCAATATTTAATAGTTTAATGGACCTATTCTATATTAGTTAATTTTTATGAAATTTATATTTTTCAGTATTTTAAAGACTATGAGTGAGATTAAAAGGAAGATTTGAGTCTTTAAAAAGAAAGCTTTGACTAGATAATGTAACAAACATGCTGAGGTATCAGTGCATGAGATGTTCTTGATTGTGATTTAACTATAGACTCTCAGAATCAAATGGGCCTAAACTATTTAGTACTATACTCATAGATATTTTGCTATTTTATGTTATTGTTGAGGAATAATCTGCATTTTTGAGATTGAACCAGTTATACATTTTTAAAAATAAATGTCAAGATCTGGTTGAACATGGTGGCTGAGGCCTATAATGCCAACACTTTGGCAGGTTAAGGCAGGAGGATTGCTTGAAGCCAGGAGTTCGAGACCAACCTAGGCTACATAGTGAGATCTTGTCTCTTCAGAAAATAAAAAGTCAAGATCTAAAAGAGAAAGAAATTGAGTGAGAATACACATCAACTATACCAAAAAAGAGAGCACCCTTTTAATTAAAACTTATAAATATTCATTATTGTTATGGATTATATTCCCTTTTAACAGAAGCCCTCCAGGAATTTACCCACCCTAAATCATCATTTGGAGAAATATTATTAAGATTATGGCTAGTAAGCAGCCAATATATATAAAATAGAATGAATATGTGATCTATATAAAATATATTTTATATGTGATCTATATACAATAAATTGTAGAGTTTAGATCTTATATAAAATATGTTCAACTGTACTGTGATAAATATAACAGAAGGGTCAGATCTATTCAGTGGAAAATTAGCTGGAAATAACTTTTTATTTTTCTCTTAAATTATCATAGACTAGGCTATGCATGGTGGTTTACACCTGTAATCCCAGCACTTTGGGAAGCTGAGCAGGAGAATCACTTGAGCCCAGGAGTTTGAGACCAGCCTGAGCAGCTTAGCAAGATCTTGTCTCTACAAAAAATTAAAAAATTAGCTGGATGTGGCACATGCCTATAGTCCCAGCTACTCGGGATGCTGAGGCAGTAGTATTGCCTGAGCCCAGGAGGTCAAGGCTGCAGGGAGCCAGGATCACACCAATGCACTCCAGCCTGGGTAACAGAGTGAGACACCCCAACTCAAAAAAAAATTATTATAAGACAAGGTAGATGCTGACTAGGTATTAAAATATGTTAGGGAATAAAGATGAATAAAACATGACTCTAGCCGGGCTCGGTGGCTCAGCCTGTAATCCCACACCTTGGGAGGCTGAGGTGAGTGGATTGCCTGAGCCCGCGGGTTCGAGACCCGCCTGGGCAACTTGGTGAGACCTCATCTCTACAATAAATCAAAAAATTAGCCGGGTGTGGTAGCACGCACCTGTAGTTCCAGCTACTTGGAAGGCTGAGGTGGAAGGATCGCCAGAGCCCAGCAGGTCAAGGAGATAAGTAAACAGACTACAGTTCAATGTATAAAGTACTACGGTAACTGCAGGATTCTAGTTAATACGTAAAATGGGCACCTAATATATACCAGAGTAAGATGGTATCATTACTTTCCATGGTATTAATCCTTAAGCACTTAGCATAATGCTAAGTATATGGTAGATATTCATATATTTGGTAAAGTAGAATATACTTGTTTTTTTTTTTTAAATCGTGGATCCTGTTTTAATTTTTTTCTTGAAACAATGTCTTTAAATTTTATGCCACAATGTTTTTCTTTATGGATATTTTTCATTTTGTTGTAGTAATTTTATTGACCATATACATAAATCAGTATCTGTTGCTAACTCTTGAATGTAACTGGTAGTAGATAGCAAGAAAGACTTTGTACTTTAGGAAAAGCTGTGTCCCACAGTGCTGAACATATTGTAAATGTTCAAAAACAATAATTACCTGGTTTTGGAAACTTCAGAATTTATTTAGTAATTTATCAACATCGCCAAGCCTTTTGCAGGAATTCCTTATTCTTAATTGTTAAGAGTAATTGTAAATGATAAGAGAGAATGTAAACAGTATGACTCTTGAGCAGTAGTAAACACTGCTAACCAAAGAAAACGCTGAACAAGTAACAGAAAGTCATATCCTTGACTAATCTGAAGAAAAAATACCTTATAAACCCTATGGCATACCATGGACATAAATTTTACCTATGGTTGGAGTCAAAGCTAATGCATATGAAAAATTAAAGATCAATGCTAAATTCTGTGGTATGACTAAATACAAATGAGTTCACTGATTTATTTAGGAACTATTAAGTTCCACATTTATGATGCATCCTATACTAGGCCTAGAGACACAGAGATTTAAAAATACAGTCTGGGTTTAAGGCAGGAAAACACAATCATAGTACTGGGTGATTTGTACAAGCTGGGCATGGTGGCTCGCATCTGCAGTCCTAGCACTTTGGGAGGCTGAAGCAGGAGGATTGCTTAAACCCAAGAGTTCAAGACCAGCTCAGGCAACATAGCAAGATCCTGTCTCGAAAGAAAGAAATGGGTACAAAGTACTAATTGGTATATAAAACAAGAGCAACTAATAGTGCAAAGAAAAGAAAAAATGATATGGATTGGTCATATAGGCTTAATTAAAAAAGCAAGCAATGTGAGATCATTTTTTGTGACTGTATCCTGTTACCAGATATATTTTTCAGGAACTTGTATAGTGTTTTTCTATTCTGTGAAACGAGATTATAAACCACCCCCAAAGCTGTTTACAACTCAAAAGTTAGTTGAGTACACCAAGAGTTTCTGTTTCTCGTTATACCGAAGTGTGCTAATTATTAAATGAAATATTCAAAACCAAGTGGATTGGTGCAAATAAGATATCTACTTGGTCTATTTATTATGTTTGCAGATCTAAGTAGTAGGAATGATTAATATACTCTGAACATACATTATAAAATTTTCCTTAAATATTATATTAACTAGTTTGATCAACTTAATACTCCTTTTTCACTTGTTAATTCTTATTAAGGGTCAGCTGTATTTATTGGTAACGGACCAGGGGTTTCTTACTGAAGAAAAAGTTGTTTGGGAAAGCCTACACAATGTAGATGGTGATGGAAATTTCTGTGACTCAGAATTTCATCTGCGGCCTCCTTCAGATCCTGAAACTGTATACAAAGGACAACAAGATCAGATAGATCAGGTAAATTTGTTTTGTCTTTTTTTCTGTTGTTTAAAGTGCTCATTTTTTTTCAAATGTCAATTCAGTTACCCATACTTTTGAACTAAATATTAATTCATTAATATCTTGTGAAATTCTCTTAACACTTCCTAAATTACACTTTTGGTTTAGAAGACCAGGTCATATTGAACTATGAAGGTCATAGTAAGGAGTTTGAATTTTATTCTAATTGCTGTAAGGAAGCTATGCCAACTATTAAACATGGAAGTGACATGATCCATTTAACCTTTTTAAAAGACTGCTATGTGGAGAATGCATCAGTAGGATACATGTCTAAGCAGAGACCAGCAGGCCAAACAAGAGGTGATGATGGCTTAGCTGTGGGTGGCAGATATTAAGACATGAGCACATATCTGAGATATATTTTGATGAGTCAGAAAAAGTATAAAAGAGAAAGTCTGGAAGATAGCATGTACCGGGTAAGCAATAGATGAGTATTCTAAGCCTTAGAGTCCAAGATAAGGAGCAGTAGACACAGCAGGAGCTGCAGATCTAAACCGAGACAGATGAGGTTTTTGCCTGTTATATGTAGGTAAACTTGGAGTCACAGTGTATTTATTACTAGAATTATGATGTGACATGACTTCTTTCCTGACTGAGACGGAAATAGAGGGGTTGTGTTAAATAGTTGGCACTTATTTCACTGATAAAAAGTTAAATTACAGGCTGGGTGCAGTGACTCACACCTGTAATCCTAGTGCTTTGGGAGGCTGAGGCAAGAGGATTGCTTGAGACCAGGGAGATCAAGACCAGCCTGGACAACACAGTGAAACCCACATCTCTACAAAAAAAACAATTGTTTAATAGCTGGGCATGGTGGTACACATTTGTATTTTCTAGCTGCTGAGAAGACTGAGACAGGAGGATTGCTTGAGCCCAATAGCTCGAGGCTATAGTAATCTATGACTTTACCAGCCTAAGCAACAGAGTGAGACCCTGTCTCAAAAACAAAAAACAATTTAAGTGAACAATTAAACTGTTCATTTAGCTAATATTCAATGAGCAGTTGTATTCCTGGCACTATAACTTGGTCTTAGGGATACAAAGATAAATCATTCAGTTCTGTCTTCAAAGATACTGCAGAAGGTTGGGTGTGGTGGCTCACACCTGTAGTCCCAGCAATTTAGGAAACCAAGGTGAGTTGAGGCCAATAGTTCAAGTCCAGCCTAAGCAATATAGTGAGACCCTATCTCTATAAAACATTTAAAAAAAAAGATGCTGCAGTCTAGCAGGGGAGACAGATGTTTAACCAACTAATGTTATATGTTAAGTTCTATAATGGCAATTTGAATAGCAAGCTAGTTGAAACAATACTTGATTCAAACAAATGATTATCTTTCTAGGACTCTGGACTTTTGTTTGACAAACAGTTGTGATAGTATGCTCAATTTCCTTCAGGAGGTACACAGGGACATGGTTTTTTAATGTCACTTAAGTGTGTAGGATTTTTCTAATCACTATATGTAAAAATACTGGAGCAGAGGGAGTTTAGGCAAAGCAATAGACTGTCACATGGCTCACATGTTAAATGTTAAGATCAGTGTCTGTGGAAGAAGGAAGAGGTGGATTCAAGACCATAGGCTTGGTAAAGAGCAGAGTTTGAAGAATTGAGGAGAAAAGTTTGAAGGAAAAATTTTTTATATCAGTAAGATAGTCATGCTATATGTATTACAATGTGTTCACAGGCAATGATCTTTTTAACATGTCCTTTGACTTATTTAAAATTCTCACAGAGTAGTCAAGTTTTATTTGCACCAACTCTTAATAACATGGGTATTAAATTAGAGAATATATCTTTTAACCAAAATACACCTCTTTTTCTCATAGGAAATAATATGGTTTTGTATTTGGGAAGAGGGAAAGGTGGGCAAGTAATTGAGTATGACTATATGACAACTATATTGGCTTTAAAAATCACCTTTTCACTCATAAGTGGACCCTGAACATTTACCATAATACTGTAAGAAAGGGATTGACAGTAGCAGGATACTGCTAGGGAGGGGTAGCGAGGGACGGGGACACAACATCAATAAGGGCACCTGATCTCAAATCAAGTAAAGTGGGAACCAACGGGAGGCCCAGACTTTATAATGAACCCTTGTATACCTAATCCTGAATTGTACCCCACATCTTTATTTTGTTTTGAGTCAGAGTCTCAATGGCATGAGGCTGGAGTGCAATGGCATGCTCATGGCCACCACAGCCTCGACCTTCCAGGCTCAGGTGATCCTTCCACCTTAGCCTTCCAAGTAGCTGGAACCACAGGCATGTGCTACCATGCCCAACTAGTCTTTTCATTTGTTGTAGAGACCAGGTCTCACCAAGTTGCCTGGGCTGGTCTTGAACCCATGGGCTCAGGCAATCCTTTCACCTCTGCCTCCCAAAGTGCTGGGATTAGAGGCGTGAGCCACCATGCCCAGCTGTATCCCACATCTTTAAAATTTAAAAAAAAATTTTTTTAATATTTAAAAATAAATAAATAAATAAACTCACCTTTTGTGGGGCTGCATGCAGTGGTTCACACCTGTAATCCCAGCACTTTGAGAGGATGAGGCAGGAGGATCACTTAAGGTCAGGAATTTGAGACCAGCCTGGGCAACATAGCAAGACCTTGTCTCCACAAAATAAAAACAAACAAAAAAAATCACCCTTTGGAAGAATGTTTAATAAGTAATCTTGGGAAATTCTTGTTTTAAACAAAAGATTTTTTTGACATTAAATAGAAAACAGGCAGGCTCAGTGGCTCACATCTGTAATCCAGCACATTGGGAGGCTGAAGCAGGAGGATTGCTTGAGCACAGGAATTCGAGACCCACCTGGGCAACATAGCAAGACCTTGTCTCTACAAAAAATAAAAAATTAGCCATGCATGATGGTGCACACCTGTAGTCCCAGCTACAGTAGAGGCTGAGGTAGAAGAATCACCTGAGCCCAGAGGTCAAGGCTGTGGTGAGCCATGATTGTGCCATAGCACTCCAGCCTGGGTGACAGAGTGAGATCCTGACTCAAATTAAAGAAAACAAAAAACAGATTGCAATAGTTACAGAGGATAGGAGATGGTTTAATTTGTGTGTAAATGTAGAAAAATACTAAGTTAATTATATTAATTGTTAATAGTTATCACCATGTAATATATTATGGTGGTTTCTTTTTATTTGGCATCTCTGGTGGGTACAAAGACATTATGGTGATTTAAACTTTCTTATTTATGGTTTTCTGTTTTGTCTGAATTTTCTATAGGCATGTGTTTCTTTTGTAAACAGAAATCACTTTTTGGCTTTCTTGAATGCCTTATATACTGCTGCTCAAAAGGAGTTCAAATGGATTCTAGAATATTTAGAACAATGACAACATCACTGTTCTCAGTTCATAGCTCCCAGGGGAAATACTTTGATTTTAATATTTAAGCTCTGGAATGTTTTTTTAAAAGCCATTCTCATAACTTAACAAATACATCTGTATTTGCATTCATTAATTCTTGGGTAAAATCTCGTAGCTAATAATGGTTATAATTTAATTTCTTAGGACTATCTTATGGCATTATCTCTACAACAAGAACAGCAGAGCCAAGAGATCAATTGGGAACAAATCCCAGAAGGAATCAGTGATTTGGAACTAGCAAAGAAACTCCAGGAGGAAGAGGATAGACGAGCTTCTCAATACTATCAGGAACAGGAACAAGCAGCAGCAGCTGCTGCTTCTACTTCTACGCTGGCTCAGGTTCAGGTAAAAACTAGGTTTATGATTCTTAAATGTGACAATCACTTTAACAACGAAGCAATTTCTGTTTGAGATAATTTTTTTTTTTTTTGAGTAGGAGTCTCACTCTGTCACCCAGACCTGAGGGCAGTGGCATGCTCCCGGCCACCGCAGCCTCACCCTGCTGGGCTCGACGATCCTTCTGCCTTAGCCTTCCAAGTAGCTGGAACTACAGGCATGCACCACCACGCCCGGCTAATTTTTTGATTTATTGTAGAGATGAGGTCTCACCAAGTTGCCCAGGCTGGTCTCAAACCCCTCGGTTCAGGCAATCCCCTCACCTCGGCCTCCCAAACTACTGGGCTTATAGGCATGAGCCATTGGGCCCAACCTGAGATAAAAATTTTAAAGTAAAGACTCTTTACTCTTAAATTATGTTAGGATTTTAGCACCTATGGGGTTTTTGGCATTGTCCTAAGTTGTGATTATTCTATTTGTCATTTAGTAAAATTATTTTTCCTGAGATTTTGATTTTCTTATTTATTTTTAAGTTCTTAATAGTTACAAAGAGCTGGTCGTGGTGGCTCTTCCCTGTAATCCCAACACTTTGGAAGGCAGAGGTGAGAGGATTGCCTGAGTCCAGGGGTTTGAGACCAACCTGGGCAACTTGGCAGACCTCGTCTCTACAATAAATAAAAAAGCAAACCGTGTGTGGTGGGGCACACCTGTAGTTCCAACAACTTGGAAGGCTGAGGTGGAAGGATCGCCTGAGCCCAGCAGGTTGAGGCTGCGGTGGCTGTGAGCATGCCACTGTACTCCAGCCTGGGCGACTAAGTGAGACTCCTACAAAAAAAAAGAAAAGAAAAGAAACCAATTTGAACAAAGTACTTTCTATTAACTAAAGAACAGTATGAGGTACTACTGGAAAAAATATTAACTTTGGAGCCAAATAGAAGTTTCCTGCTTCTGTTTCCTTCCTAGCTGTAACATCTTAGACAAAGTCCTTTACCTTTCTTAGCCTCACTTTTTCCTATCTGTAAAATAGAAGATAATACTTAACACTTACATTTGTGGTGAAGAACAAATAATGTTAGCACTTAATCCAGTGTCTGACATATACTAGCTATTCAACAAAAGTTAACATCTTCCCCTTTTCATTTTCCTCAATTTTTTTAATCACTGAAAATATGATGGTGGGATTCTACATGCCAAATCTCATTTTATTAAATAAAAAATATTTCCCTTTTATGTTTCACTGTTTCTTTTGTGTGTGTGTGTTAAGATCTCACTCTCTTGCCCAGGCTGGAGTGCAGTGGCACAATCACAGCTTACCACAACCTCAAACTCCTGATCTCAGACAATCCTTCTGTGCCAGTTCCCCAGTTGTTGGGACTACCATGTCTGGCTAACTTTTTTATTTTATTTTTTTGTGGAGACAGGGTCTCACTATGTTGCCTAAGCTCGAACTCCTAGACTCAAGCAATCCTCCTGCCTCTGTCTTCCAAAGTGCTGGGACTATAGGTATTGGTGAGCCACCATGCCCAGCCCAGATTGTTCCTTTTGATATGTATACACAAGAAATTATGATCTGAGTATACAAGAAAGCTGGATGCCTTTTAAGATCTGATAAAACAAAATATAGATGCCCTTGTTAAAATAAGGATAAAATTTATATTTCTAGCTCAAATATTGACTACTCCAAGCTTAATAGTTAAATCATACCATGTAATGATTAGCTTTTCACTCAAAAGTGTGTCTTATTGCACAGAATACACAACCACACTCTCAGTTCTCAGAGATTTTCTTCTTTTAAAATGTTTACAAGTATTATGGTATTTAATGAGGTCTTGAACAACTATTATAGTTTACCAAAAGGTGTCGCTTCCTTTAGCATTTTCTAAACTTTAATGTAAATATTTCTTAAATTTGAGTCTTCGGGCAGTGTAATTTTATGTTATTTATTGTTCCATTTATTTAGAATAATGGATACATTAATTATATCCAGAATAATAGAAGCAATTGCTCAAGTGTAATATAACAGATCCATACACCAATAATGGCCAGGCACAGTGGCTCATGCCTGTAATCCCAGCACTTTGGGAGGCACAGGCAGGAGGATTGCCTGAGCCCAGGGATTTGAGACCAGCCTGGGCAACTTAGTGAGACCTTGTCTCTACAGTAAATTAAAAAAATGAGCCGGGTGTGGTGGTACCTGCCTGAGCTTCCAGCTACTTGGAAGGCTGAGGCAGATGGGTCAGCTGGGCCCAGGAGGTCGAGGCTGCCAGGCTGCTGTGGCCATGAGCGTGCCAGGCTGGGTGACAGAGTGAGACTCTGACTTAAAAAAAAATACACACACTCACACACACCACTAGCTTTTTTTTCCATGAATGATTCCTTTCACTGTCATAGTTTTTCTTTCTAGATAACTAAGATTAAGCACCTTAGAATAGTAATTTCTTCCTGTGTATTTTTCTTAAAGCAAAGCCAGCCAGCACAAGCCTCTCCATCAAGTGGAAGACAATCTGGGAATAATGAACGTAAACGAAAGGAAACTCGAGAAAAAGATAAAGAAAAGGAAAAAGAAAAAAATAGCTGCGTCATTTTGTAACAAGTGCTGGATTCTTGGAACCATCTATATGTCTTGAGAAACAAAACCACAGAAGGAAAGGAAGAAAAACCGATATATACCGTCTGTGCCTGATTTCCCAATGGATTTTGTTCATGTTTTTCAGGGGAAAGGTTGTTACTTAGTTACAATCAGACTTTTTCAAGTCTCACAATACACTCTTTATGAGCTGGAGTTTCATGTTACAAGTTGGAAATGCTGTGTGTTGTCATTCATGAAAAATACTGCACTTGTAGCCAAATAAGCAAATCACAGCAAATTTTGTGTCATAGTGACATTCATAACTCATATCAGTTAGTAAGCTATTTTATCATCTATTCTAACAATGAATGGAGGTAACTGATTTAGTCTGATTCCTTCCTGAAACCTAAAGATTAGCACAATAGTTTCTGAAATTTTTACAATGTTAAATTATTATCTAATCCATGAGAAACCAGGGGTTTAATATAGGGATTTAAAAAGCAAAAACAAACACATAATTTTAAAAAAGACAAAAAATAGCAGGAACAAATAACCTTTAATTGTATATTGAACTAGTTCAGCCCTTGAACAGCTTTACCTTTCTTTAGGAATGTACATTTTAGATATTAACTTGAGAACTGATTATGGAGCTTGGATTTAATTTAGGTAGAAAAAAATTAAGATTTGTATTTCTTTTTCCATAGCCAAAAATTATGTAACACTAATACTTATAACCTATCAAAATCAGATATTAATGACTTTGTAGTGTTGTAAAATTTTGAGAAATTTTGAAATCTTTAATATAGGTATCCTGGACCACAGTTACTTTTAAAAAAATTTTTAAACCAGGTCTCACTCTGTCAGCCAGGCTGGAGTACAGTGGCATGATCATAGCTCACTGCAGCCTCAAACTCCCTGACTTAAGTGATCCTCCTGCCTCAGCCTCCCAAGTAGCTGGGACTACTGGCATGCTACCATGCCTGGCTAATTTTATTTTTTTTGTAGAGACCCTATGTTGCCCAGGCTGGTCTCAAACTTCTGGCCTCAAGTGATCCTTCTTGGCCTCCCCAAGTGTTGGGATTACAGGTGTAAGTCACCATCCCCAGTCCCACAGTTACTATTTATTGACAATGTGATGATAGAGTACAGGGAGCAAACCACAGTGGATGCTAGTCCTTGTCAATACGAGGACTTAGAAAAGCTGGTAGTTCGATGTCTACTTTTTTCTAGAATTACCTGGAACCTTAAACATTAAATCATGTTCATTGCTAGAAAATTAAATATATTAAAACCAACAAAAAAGCACATTTCTGAAGGGAAGTTAGAGATAATCGCCGAGTCTAGTAAAACGACATTAATAAAGATCTGAGTGAGGCTAAGAATTTGGAGGAATTTATGTAAAAGCAATCAGATTTTTTAACTTATGGGAGCCAAATAAACCTATAACATCTTATAATGTTTATAGGATTCAGAAAGAATATTTATTTAACTTTATTATGAGGCAACACATAGTTTCCTGTGTTTCTAGATATAGTTTTTAAAACTATCCTTAATAGTCCTTTTTATATGCTTTATATTTAAAATTTTTGTTTTTGTCATTTGTGAAAGACGATTGCTGCTGCAAGTAGTTGTGTGATTTACATTCTAAGCTTCGGTGAATTTGTTTATTTAGGAGTATCATAGTCTGACCTGAGCATCCACTTGGCAAATGTTTTTTGTAGTCAGGAGTTGACAAAAGACTACAATAAAGTGTGGTCTAGATTTTTTTAAACTATGTCATTAACTTTCTCCATGATCCAAGACCAGTTGTAGGATGAGTCTATATGTAAAATGTAAAGTCTTATTTATGGAAGGAATTATTCTAAGGGAAAAATTCAGGGTCAAGCTGTATCTTTTATGTCCTTCTATAGTGCATGTCTGTTTATATTAATATGATTTGTTATGTTTTCCACTTTCCTGTGCTAGCATGATAAATCATTAGAGAACCTGTTTGGGATATAAAACTTTGATAGAAAATATTTAGTATCTTGTTCATAACCCAGAATATGTGTACACTAGTAATCAGATATTACAGAACTCTCTGTTGGCTCAAACAGGTTGACCTCAATCCAAGTTTATTCTTGATATCACTATTGGCTGAAGGAGGAAACTCAAACCTCAGTGTTGGTTTTTCCCAGAACAGATAATAGTGATAGTACATTATATTTTAATAAGAAAAACAAAACAATAAACCTGGAAAAAATTTAAAAAGCATATTTGAGGCATATTTTTTCATAATTATATACTTACCTATTTATTGCCCTTGAAAAATAATGTGTGTAGAAGTTATTCTTCTGTAATTTGTTACTATCTTCCTAATTTGTTCCAAAGATAATACTGCCATTCTGCATTCCCTCTGGAAGAAAAAAAAACACTCACTCAAAACCAGCAGTGCTGCTATCAGATAAGTAGATGTCAATGTATACTTAAAAGAAAAAACTTTAAAAATGTAATGTGTTTGTTAATTCAACCTTTTTCTATGTAATATTTCCAAGTCAGACTTTCTTACATTCCTGGAATTCAGTTTAATATACCTAGAGTAATAATGATAAAATGTTCACTTTGATTACTGTGGAGGAAAAATTCAATGTTCAATTCTATTAAAACAAACAAACTTCTCAGAGATACTGGCTTCCTGTCCGTGAAGGTTATTAAGAATTTAGAACTATTGTGTCTTCATTTTCTTAAATTTTGCTCAAGGTAACAAATTATATATACAGGCATTTCACTGTTGATTTGGCTACATAAGAATTTGATAGTGATATATATATATTTTGAGTCAGAATCTCACTCTGTCACCCAAACTGGAGTGCAGTGGTGTGCATGATCATGGCTCACCACAGTCTCAACCTCCTGGGCTCAGGCAATTCTTCCAACTCAGCCTCCTGGGTAGCTGGGACTATAGGCACATCCCATCACACCTGGCTAATTTTTTAATTTTTTTGTAGAGACAAGGTCTTGCTATGTTGCCCAGACTGGTCTCAAACTCCTGGGCTCCTGCAGTCCTCCCACTGGAGCCTCCCAAAGTGCTGAGATTACAGGCTTGAACCATTACACCTGGAAATAGTAGAATATTAAATTATTTCCTTCACAATATTTCATAGTACTTGAACATTGTTTGATGTACACTGCTAACAGAAGTTAGAATTTGAACATTTTTTGTTTTTAATATTTACAGGCTACAGTAGGGACACATTTACTTCAACCAATAACTATTAGAGCTAACAAAAGAGGCAGATGAATGAGTGGATATGATCACTGCACTTTCCTTTAACTTTCAAAATCTGTTTCAAAACCTTAAGGTTAGTGGCCAGTCTTTATTAACATAAAGGTTATTCTGGCCGGGCTCGGTGGCTCAGTCTGTAATCCCAGCACTTTGGGAGGCCGAGTGAGGCGAGTGGATTGCCTGAGCCCGCAGGCTCGAGACCCACCAGGGCAACTTGGCGAGCCCTCATCTCTACAATAAATAAAAACAACTAGCCGGGCGTGGTAGCGCACACTTCTGATAGTTCTGGCTACTTGGAAGGCTGAGGTGGAAGGATCACCTGAACCCCGCAGGTCAAGGCTGCGGTGGCTGGGAGGGTGCCACTGCACTCCACCCTGGGCAACAGAGTGAGACTCCAACTCAAAAAAACCCAAAACAAAACATAAAGGTTATTCTTTAATATGAAAATATCTTCATGTCCAGTTCCATTGCATCAACAATGGTTTGATTTACAGTAGATTATCAATACTTAAAAGTAGTTATTGTATGTGTGTATTTCTGAAGCAAGTTTTCATGACTTCTGTGTGATTCTTAAAGGAATTGGGAACTTTCCCTCAAATTTAAGGATCACCATTTTAAGAAGACATGCACACTAAGCAGTAAGAGGTGGCTAAGATTGGCACTGGCTGTACACTGGTCCATGTGCTTGGGTAAAGGAACTTCCTCCCTGTTTCAGGGTCAGGTTAGCAGTTGAGTGGGGCATAGATTTAAATGTAAGATTAGGCCTTGGGATGTAGCTTGTTTTTATTGTCTCACATTTCTAGTATTTGACTACTTATTCCATATCATGTTTTGAGTTCTCATACTTCTTGATCTTGGCTTAACTGAGCAAGTTAATATCAGAGAGATCAGTTCACTGAGCCCAAGATTAATCATTTTGTACTTTCACAAAATCCTCATCATTTTGTTTTCAATGAATCACAAACCTAGCTCACTTAGAGACCGAAGATTGTGATAGGAAAAGAATTAGAAAGCAAATAAATAGAAGGCAGATAAATATTTAAGGAAAGAATAATTGTAGTTCGTATATTATTGTTGGTATTTGAAACACATATTTGTAAGACCTTGCTGGAGAAAAATCGAGGCAAGAATTTTCAGAATTGTCCTCTAACAATCTCATTTAAATTTTAAAAAAAAAACAAAAAGCAAGCCGGGCTCGGTGGCTCAACCTGTAATCCCAGGGCTTTGGGAGGCTGAGGTGAGTGGATTGCCTGAGCCTGTGGGTTCGAGACCCGCCTGGGCAACTTGGCAAGACCTCATCTCTACAATAAATAAAAAATTAGCCAGGCGTGGTAGCGTGCACCTAAAGTTCCAGCTTCTTGGAAGGCTGAGGCGGAAGGATCGCCGGAGCCCAGCAGGTCGAGGCTGCCGTGGCTGGGAGCGGCCGCTGCACTCCAGTCTGGGTGACAGAGTGAGACTCCAACTCAAAAAAAAAAAAATAAAAGCAAATTGATTACATTTTTATTAACATTCCTATTCCATATACCAATTATTTTAAAACATGATGAAAACTTTATGGGCATTACCTGTCACACAGTGTTTATGCATACAACTTCAAATATAATTGTAAATTTACTAATGTTTGGTAAAATAAGATAGAGGCATTAAAAATAGTCTATATTCTAAGGAACTGGACATGTGGAATTCCAGATCATTTTGTGTCTAAACACCTGATTTTCTGTCTTGCCTTGGGCAAACTTTCTGTGCCTCAATTTACTCTTTAAATATGTGAAAGATGCTCTTTTTTTTTTATTTTTTATTTTTAGTGTTTTGCACTCCTGAATAAAGGGTATAGTATAAGCACAAAGTATTAAATTATTACAGATATTACACATCCTTTGTTCTTGGATGTGTAGATGTTTTTCCCAATGACATAATGTGTCCTAAGTCAGTTTTTTAATGCTGTAAAAATTTGTAGAATTGTCTTGGAGTATGGCATCATATCTTCCCAAAATGTATTTACAGTTGCTGTTGTGTTCTGTAGGCTATAGGATCAAAATCAAGAGTATTTGGGGAGTATCAAGGGCATTTAAAAATCTATTTTTTCCCAGTATCTTTCACAGATCCAGATATTTAGATGCTCTGCCTTTTCCTCCATGGAATACAGTACAGTGGCATCAGGTTACTAATACATACAGTATATAAACTTTTTGCAATGGTGGAATTTATTTAGATCTCTCAAGTACTATCATTTAGGGCTAAATTATTTGTGTTTTTTACTGTAAAATGTTATTTGATAATGTACAGTTAAATTCCTTTTAGAAAGTGAAAATGGTCAAGGAATTCATCGAAATCTTGGAGTTCTTAGGTTCTCTGATAATTTAGTGTCTTTTGTTACTGATGCCCAACACTTCTGTAACTGTTGGGGAAACATCATGAAGAAATGAGGCTACTTTTCTCAGGTGACACTTTAAAATAAACTAAATTTCCAAATCAAAGACTTTCTGAACAAAATAAATTGCAAAATAGAGATAATGGAATGTGAGAGACAAATTCCAGGACTCTAGTAAGCTTAACTCATTTTGAATATCTAAATTTTAATTAATGCATGTCTCTTTATTTCAGTA